TTCTGCCTGCATTGGATGCAGCATTTTTTCTTTCACAGATGTATAGAGTTTGAATGGATAGGACAAGTGTTGATATATTGTTTCTACAGATTCCTAATCGTCATTGTTTTTTCCCTCGTTTTTACATTAGAAAACACTGTCAAAAGAAGAGTTATAAAACGCTGCTGTTTAGGTGTGTTCCATTATCTGATACAATAGATTGACAGTCAAATTACTGTATCAAAATGTTGCTGCATTTGGATATATTATAAAATAAATAAGTATCTAAAAGTAAAAATCACTGATTAAGTGATAAATAAAAAACAATTTTAAAAATAAGCATATAAAATGAGACAATTAAGTTGTAATTTTAATTAGATTAGACTATTCACACTTTTAGTTTGTCCTTTTTTTGAGCATTTGAAATTGAAAAATTTTTTAATAAGGAAGTAAATTTTTTAAATGTTTTGATATAAATGCTTTTTACGACAAAAAACGCTATACAGTTTTAAATAAATAAACAGAAAAAAAATTTTTTTTCTTAATGATAAACTTGTGGAAGACTTTATCTACAATTAACTATTATCAATCTTTAATCTATTATTTTTTTAGGGATTATTATTGTTTTCGGGTAATTCAGGTGTTAACAAAAAAAAAACTTTTAGTTTAAAATAAGTTTTAGTAAAAAAAAAAAAAAGATGGAAGCGACAGATTAAATGATATATCAAAAGAAAAACTTTTGTGATGAATATTTTGAATACAGATTGTTTAGTTTGGGTAAAACTTAGATTACAACAAATTTAGCCTTTTTTTTTTTATTCTGAAATTTTTAAATAAATATTATAATTTAGTGACATTATTTAAAATTTATGGTAATATACTGCTTTTATTACAGATATTAAGGACAAAAAAAAAACTGTGTAAAATAACTGTTTTTTCAAACACCACTGCTGTCACAGATAAATTCAGTTGGTATGACAAAGTGACAGATGTTTTAACAACTAAAATAAACTATTGAATTTTAACACCAAACTATTAGGAATTTTTTTTCTCTAATTTATATTTATTTATTTACTTTTTTTGAAGAAGATGAAAATTAGGAAAGATGACAGTGGTTTTGATCTGTCTTATCAACTATTTTTCTTACTGATACCATTTAACGACACTTTTACTGCTTTGCTTATTTACCATACTCTGTTTATTGAGTTTAAAATAGACTTCAAAAATTTGTCAAAAAAATTATATGAAAATAGCATTATGCCAAATTTAGATTAAAGAATTTTTTTTAATTATTTTTTTTATCACACCTGTTTTTTTTTCTCTTTTGCTTTACTCAGTAAACCAAATCAGTTCTGATCAACTTAACTGTTGTATTCAGTTTACAGAAGTAATACAGACTTAGTGAGAAAAAAAAACAAAGTAAAATGTTTTTATTTAAATCTTTTTCAAACTTATAATTTTTTATACTCAACAAAAAGATAAAGTAGATAAGTGAATAAATAAATTTATTTTGTATAACTTAGCCAAAAATACTGCTTTTTATCAGAATGTTTGAGAAGCTGTATGAATTTTAATGAACAAACTTTTGCAACAAGATGACAGTGTATAATTGTTATTGCAATGATATATCAGAAACAGCATTTTTTTTTTTTTTTTCTGCATACAGTATACACAGTTATTCTAATTTTTTTTCCTTTTGATTGAAAAAATTTTAAAAATGTTTTAGTGAAACATTTAACTGAACTGAAGAAAGATTTTTAGACGACAATCATAGAAGACTTCAGGTAGTGAGATGTAAAACGAATAAGAGGCCAACAGTCAATGTTTGATTACATCTTTTTAGATTTTAAACTAATCAATTATGTAAACAGAAAAAATTATAACATTTTTTACTTTTTCTTCTAAAACTTATTCTGTATTTTAAATTTTTTGTTGCAATTTATACACTGTATCAATAAGCGTATTTTCATCTGATTACATTGCTATTTTTT